CTGGACGCCCCAGCCCACCCGGAGGCGACCGGGTCCGGCATGACCTGGGACTGTCACCAGGGTGCGCAGTCAGCCGTGAGTACCTCGGAGGTAGCGGGACGGAGGGAAGCTGTGAGGGGCTCAGCCTGTGGTGTGACCCGCAGCTGGTAGTGCAGGCGGCGCGAGTCCCAGCCCCAGTGCGAGGGCGTGAGTGGCGGGAACCCTGCGCACTCGCCCCTGCCTGTCCACAGATGCGTGTTTGGACGGGGGAATACGGAGGGTTGAGAATAACAACGAAGTCCCAGATCCCGGGAGTTGGGAGAAACTTAAGAGGAAACTTAGGCGGCTGGCTGTGGGCGTGGGTCTGTGACTGCCTCCACGCTGGACCCCCGGCCCCCGCGGAAATCGCTGGCAAGGTCGCCGGGCCCCAGCCTTTTCGGAGTTGGGGGGGGGGGCGGTCCTATCACCCTGGGACGCAATCGCCCCACACCTCCCGGGGCTCAGAGCCGCATCCCTGTTTGGCCGCACCTCTCGCCCCGCGCAACCAGTCCAAATGGTCCCCACAATCGGGTGAGACGCCGCCAGCAGCTAGCAAGCGAGCCCGTGTGAGCGGGGTGGGTGCAGGTTCAAAGCCCCTAAGATCTGGCCGGGCAGCTGGGGATCGCGCTGAGCCCCTCACCTGGCTCGGCTCCCGCAGCGAGTTAGAGCGGGACCGGAAGGCGTCGGGTTCCAGCGCCAGGGCTGAGGGCTGCTGGACGCCGAGGGGCCTTAGAAAAGTGAAGTCACTGCCGTCCGAGGCTGGTGAAAAGCACGTCCTGTAGCAGTGGCTCTGCGAGTCCGCGGGCCGCAGGGTCACCTCCATGTACTTGAGCGTGCCATCCGAGCTCACCTGCAGGTTGGGGCTGGACTGCTTGTAGTAGTCCTCCCGGGAGGGCGAGTCCTGGCGCTTGCAACACCCGCCCCCGCGTGTGAGCGGGGTGGGTGCAGGTTCAAAGCCCCTAAGATCTGGCCGGGCAGCTGGGGATCGCGCTGAGCCCCTCACCTGGCTCGGCTCCCGCAGCGAGTTAGAGCGGGACCGGAAGGCGTCGGGTTCCAGCGCCAGGGCTGAGGGCTGCTGGACGCCGAGGGGCCTTAGAAAAGTGAAGTCACTGCCGTCCGAGGCTGGTGAAAAGCACGTCCTGTAGCAGTGGCTCTGCGAGTCCGCGGGCCGCAGGGTCACCTCCATGTACTTGAGCGTGCCATCCGAGCTCACCTGCAGGTTGGGGCTGGACTGCTTGTAGTAGTCCTCCCGGGAGGGCGAGTCCTGGCGCTTGCAACACCCGCCCCCGCCCCCCTCCCCATCTGCCTGTCCCCGGAGGCACTTAGCTGACAGAAAGGTGAAGGTGACCAAGGATAACAGACTGACGGCTGCGAGGGCCACAATGAGGTAAAGGGTGAGGTCTGACCGCTCAGGAGGGTGTGTGAAGAAGTCGCTGGATTTGGGCATTTCCTCAGGGTCCTCATCCTCCAGAACCAGGAGCACTGTGGCCGTGGAGGAGAGGGCAGGGTCACCGTTGTCCCTCACCAGGACCACCACCTGCTGGGTGTCAGAGTCCTCCTCCAGCAAGGCCCGGGCTGTGCGCACCTCACCGGTGTGTGCCGACACCAGGAACAGTCCTGGGGCTGTGGACTGTGGCAACAGCGAATAAGAGAGCCATGCATTGTGGCCTGCATCCGCATCCACAGCTGTCACCTTGGTGACCAAGGAGCCAGGAGGCGCCGAGCGAGGGAGACGCTGGGGGGCTGGGAGTTCCCAGCCGGGTCTTGGGTGCAGCACAGCCGGGGCATTATCATTCTGGTCCAGGACAAACACATGCAGAGAGGTGTTGGCATGCAGCGGGGGAGAGCCAGAGTCTCGCACCCCCACCGCGATCTGCATCATCTGCAGCAATTCGTAGTCAAAGGTGCGTTGGGCAAAGACCCGCCCATCCTGGGGGTTGACATAGACGAAGGAGGAGGCTGGGGCTCCCTGGATCTGATTCCCTATGATGGAGTAGGTGAGCCGGGCGTTGTCCCCGGTGTCTGGATCGGAGGCAGCCACAGTGCAGAGAAGGGAGCCCGGAGGCCGGTTTTCCGGGATGTAAGCAGTATAGAGCTGCTGGGTGAAGTAGGGGGCATTGTCATTAACATCAGAAATGTTGAGCCTGATGGTGAGATGTGCGTGCAGGGGAGGTGAGCCTGCGTCACTGGCCAGCAGCTCAATGATATAGTGGGATGTGGCCTCACGGTCCAAGGGCTGGCTGGTTAGCAGTGAGTAGTGGTTCTCAGAGGGCTTAATCTGAAAAGGCAGGTCTGGAGAGATATCAAGGCTCACTTCACCGTTCCTCCCCGAGTCTCTGTCCCGCACATTAAACAATCCCACTACTGTGCCCACTGGTGTGCTCTCCAGGACTGGGTTGACCAAAGAGGCCAGTAGTACCTCTGGGGCATTGTCATTGGCATCCCCCACATCCACCTGAATCACACAGTGGCCTTCCATGGCTGGCTGTCCCTGATCACGGGCCCTTGCATGAATTTCATAGAAACTT